TTGTCTTGACAGTTAACTGCCGAGTTTTAATTTTAAATAAGGAAGAATGATTCATCAATACATTGCCCTGTGAACTGAGCTGGAGAATGGTGCCATCTGTTTTGTGAAGTTGAAACAGACACAATGCAAGTACATGCTCCTTCTGCCTGCAAAGAACTGGGCCCTCTGTCTTAATATTTCTAGCTTCTAGTACATCCACACTGCGAGCCTGACTGACAATCTTAAATTGATTATCAACTTAATTAGTAACACACTCGGAAGTATTTATTGAATGCTGTCCAATCGGGGAGGTTGGACATGGTATTTTGGTTTCTGCAAAACTGAGCTGTTTGGATTCAGTTTAGCAATCAAGTGTTTTTTTTCCTCTAATAACTACACTGCAAAAAGTATTCACTTGGGTGTAAAGTGCTTTGGGGTGTCTTGAAGTAGGAGAAGGTGTTATTATCAGTCTTTCTCTCCCTTCTTTGTTTCCTAATGCTCGCTCATCTCCACTTTCTGGCATCAGACTGAAACCTTGATACTTTAATTGTTAAATGAACCGGTCACATGGCCAGCACAGACAGATATCAATCTCTGCACAATGGGCCTGTTTAGGGGCAAAATTAACACTGACTTACTTCAAATTGACCCTGACTTGCCAAGGACTGAATAGGACAGGGGATACAATACACAACACAATACGTTTGGTTTGGATGGGATTCGGTTAGTTTTCGAAGCATTCAACATTTTCTGTTTCCAATGCAATGGTTCCTATCATCGGAAAGATGCTCTCAATTCAACAGAGAACAACGTGGCAATGGGTAAAGTTTCAGAATTCTCACTACTCCTGAAAAAAGTAACTGATATGACCTTAAGTATAATGTGTGCATGAGACTGCAAGATGGTCAAACTCATTATCCACTCAGTCCGGCCGTGATCTAAGCAGGTTCCTAATGGTTTTCACGGACAAACCATCACCTCAACAGGCCAGGCCATTCAGTGTTACCTATGAGCAGTTTCCTGGGGGATTCCCAGGAATGGAAGAACATCTGTCTACCCAAACATGATTCCCTGAGTCAGACATTTTGGGGTCTCCAGGAGCTGGGCTGTCTAGACCTCAGTGGGACCTTTGCCAATTAGTCTGACAGTGAAGGCCATTGTATCCAGTCTCCTGAACGGATCTAGTAGGACTTACTGCGGGGCAATCCACTTGACGATCCACTGAAGATAAAGTAACACATAAAAAAAACTTGAAGGCAGGAACCAGCAAATAATACTTTTCTGGCGTCTTGACATTGGGCCCAGGGAATGTACAGATTTAGAGGAAAACCACTCAATTATGAATGCACATACTGGTGCAATATCACACTGGCACTCATCTGTCTCAGGAGCTGAGCTGCAAAGTGTAGCTGGGATGTCCAGGATAGGCTGGGCTTGATTCAGCCATGCTGATGAGGTGGGAGCGGGTGAGGATCAACTGGAGCCCCATGTCCCTGTTGGATTAACATTTCAGGGCCAGACCAAGACTTGGGCCCAAAACACAGACCAAGAGAAAACCTCAGATACATATCTCGGCCTCCTGGCTTGCAACCCTTAGAAATGATGGGGTGTGGCTATTGCATTGGCCTCGATTAGTTTTAAAGCCGGCAAATAGAAATAGAAGTGAAGGAGCGATAAGCTGATGTACGTATTGATTTGCAGGACATGAACTGTGCCTGCAGAGGGTGCTACAACTATTCTGCCAAACATGGTGGCTTGGGGAAAGTTGGTCATTCAGTTAATGGGCTTCTGGAAAGGAAAACATTGTTTGTAATGAAATACTTGTCAACTGGCCAATACTTGTTTTGATTGGCTACGTTACTGATTAAACCTAACTCTGAATGCAAGCGAATACAAGCATGGGAAATCAGCTCTGTTGTTTAAAAAAGGACCAAGTGGAGAGATATGGTGCGCAGATACGAAATGACCCACAGGATGGGAAGGTCAAGGTTATTGTTATTGGCTATTCCTCGGAGGCACGGATGATTGTCTTCCATGGGTCTGAAGATGGCTGGACGGGGCTGACTGGAGATCGTGAAGACTTTTCCAGAAGGAAAAACCAGAAAAAAAACGTGAATGACATGTACTGGTCTGAATTGCTAACCTCAGAACAGTGCTCTGGTATTTTCATTTCCAGGTACTGCTGTTTATTTTGCCGGTTTTTCTCCCTGAACCACCCGCTGTTCTCACTGTCTGTCTTTGTTTTGACGTTGTGGGCCTCAGAATGCTGGGAGTCTTCCTACAGCCTCTGCCTCTGATTGGTCCAGTCCAGCGCGACGGTCTCCCAGGATTTAACTCCAATGTTGCATTTCTCCATGTTTCAGCACATCCCTGAAGCGTTTCATCCATCCTTCTCTGGTGTGGCTGCCCTGAACTGAATCTTTGGAAGGACCCCTTTCCCAAGAACCTCAGCTTCAGGCCGCCATATGCAAGGGACCACCAGCCAAGTGTGGGAGAAGATCCTCACTCCTAAACAGAAGGTGAGTAGTCTGTTTTTCCAGACCGGTTATTTTGCATTGAAAATATGCTGTGAACTATACTGCTCTCAACATTTCTTCCTGAGGTTTTATTTACACCTTGGCAGTTTTTCAAGAAGTGTAAAATGCAAGGTGTTGTGGTGTGATTTTGACTCCAACAGTTTATCTTACCTGGTGATAATGCTTATGTCATCACCGGTAGCATGACAATCTACAGGGGATGTTGCAGGATTGAAGAATCCAACAGAAGTTCATTACAGCTCACTGGTATATGCAGACCTCAGATTACAAATGAGCAGCATGCTTCCAGTAGGGTGTCATGCTTCTAGTGCTCCTGGTTGGGGTGGAGTATGAGGTCTTCATGCCCTCAGGCCACATGCTAAGATGGTGAAGATCTCCTAAGCATGCCTCTTAATGGTATATTTGTAACACCTACAGAGGCACTTGGTCATTGGCAACTTTGTGATTTTTTTCAGTATCTCCAGCTTACTACAGAATCCTTACCCAGTCATGAGAATTTCCACTGTCTTTTGGAGGAACAAGTTTCAGATTTCCAACACCCTTTGTGTGAAAACATGCTCCCTGGTTTCACTTCAAAATAGCCTGGCTCAAATTTTAAAGTGTGCCTGCCTGTTCAAGGGGATTAATGGAGGACAGGGTGAGGGGACTGGGGTTTGCCACAGGAATAGTTGAACCACCAGAGCCAGGCTGTTCAGGGGCAATGTCATGAAGCATTTCATAATGTGGCTCAGTGGTTAGCACTGCTGCGTCACAGCGCCAGGGACCCGGGTTAGATCCCAGCCTCGGGTGACTATCTGTGTGGAGTTTGCACGTTCTCCCTGTGTCTGCTTGGGATTCCTCCTGGTGCTCTGGTTTCCTCCCACCGTCCAAAGAAGTGCAGGCTGGTTGGATTAGCCATGCTAAATTATCCATAGTGTCCAGGGTTGTGCAGGCTAGGTCAGTTAGCCATGGGAAATACAGGGTTACAAAGAAAGGTTGGGATGTTGTTCGGAGGATCAGTGCAGGCTCAATGGGCTGAATGGCTCTTTCTGCACTGTAGGGATTCTGTGATTCTATTTCCTGACTGAAAGTCGGCGGGTGGGGTGGAAATCCAGAACTCTCTGTCTCAAGAAGCTGTTTAGTTGGGAATAAATTGAAAATATCAAAACTGAGATTGATATTTGTTAAACTACAATTAGAAGGGAGCTGAAACCAAAGTGGGTCAGAGGGGTTAAAATAGACAGAATAGACAGAAAGGCTGAATAGTCTATTCAACATTTGTATGTAGTGGCAGGTGCTGGCCACTGGATGGAGCAGTCTAGTATAGAAGATTTTTTGAGCCCATTTTCAGGCAATTTGTTCCAGTCCGATTATTAAAAGCATTCCCTGCACCCCCAGCACCATGGTCAGTCTGTTCTGTATCTTTATCAATTGGTTCCTCTGTGTCTTGCTTTCCTGACACTGTCCTTTCCTAAGCGCTGTCTTAAAAGGGCAGGTCTGTTTAATATGGAGCTTGCATTTCTCACACACACACACACACACACACACACACACACACACACACACAGCGCTCCACAGTGGGGTGGGATCAGGGGTTTCATGACCAAAATCATTGCTAACACTCAACAACGTTCCCATCTTCCAACCACGTTCACTGCCTCCCACTCCCCCTCCCTGACCCTCCTCAGCCACGTTCACTGCCTCCCATTCCCCACCCCCTGACCCTCCTCAACCACATTCATCACCCTCCCATTCCCCACCCCCGACCCTCCTCAACCACATTCATCACCCTCCCATTCCCCCTCCCTGACCCTCCTCAGCCACGTTCACTGCCTCCCATTCCCCATCCCCTGACCCTGCTCAACCACATTCATCACCCACCCATTCCCCACCCCCTGAACCTCCTCAACCACGTTCACTGCCTCCCACTCCCCCTCCCTGACCCTCCTCAGCCACGTTCACTGCCTCCCATTCCCCATCCCCTGAACCTCCTCAACCACATTCATCACCCTCCCATTCCCCCTCCCTGACCCTCCTCAACCACATTCATCACCCTCCCATTCCCCCTCCCTGACCCTCCTCAGCCACGTTCACTGCCTCCCATTCCCCATCCCCTGACCCTCCTCAACCACATTCATCACCCTCCCATTCCCCACCCCCTGACCCTCCTCAACCACATTCATCACCCTCCCATTCCCCATCCCTGACCCTCCTCAACCACACTCATCGTCTTCCCAGGCCCCGTTCCCCCATCCTCCATCAATCCTCTCTTCAACCGTGCTGTCATTAAAATGATCACTGGAGCGAGAGTCGATTCTTCCCAGTCAGAAAAGGGTAATTGCCACCCATCTTTCGCCGTCGCAGAAATGAATTGAGATCCACTCTGGGACAGAATCCCTGACGGGGTTCCCCCCCCACCATCGTTACAAGGCCCACCTATGGCACACCCATCACTGATGCCAACATCAGCGCTGCCCATTTTCTCTCTCTGTCTCTATCACTTACCCTGATAGAGCTGCATGAACTGTGAGTGTAGCCTGGAGACAACGAGTGAGTCGGGGAGCTCCCGCAGGAACAGCTTGAGTAGGCTGGCGACTGAGCAGACATCGGCCTCCTGGACCAGATCTGGTTTCACCCCCATGTCGTACCTCTGCCGCAGTCTCTCCACCACCCTCACGTTTCCATTCACCCGAAAGAGGCCTTCTTGGTCCAGCCCTGTGAGAGACAAGCCACCACAGATTCTGAGTCGCAGTGTATGACATATCTTTTGATCCACATCTGTCATGCCACAAAATAATTATGCATCTTCAGTCAATAGAAGTCTTTCCTACATTACAACAGAGATGACAACTCAAGCACATCATTGATTATCAAGTATATTTTATATACCGGAGCCTCACAGAAATGACTCTACTTCCTGTGGACATGGTTTTCTGCTTTTAACTTAAAACGCAGGAGTGAGTGTCTTAAGTACTGACTCACACGCTGCTCCCACCCTGACATAACTCACCCAATCATCTGCCAATCAGACATGGAGAGCAGATGGGTGAACATGGACATCTTTCTCGGTCTATTACAGATTTTGACGTTAAAGCCTTGGTTTGCCAACCCAAGGCAGGAAGCTTGTCATTCTAAAGTCTGCCAGTCCAGACTCCTGGAATCCTTAACCCTGGAATTCCCTCTCTAACGGCATTACAGATGTTCCCACACCAAATGGACTGCAGTGCTTCAAGAGGGCAGCTCACCATCACCTTCACAAGGGGAAACTAGGGATGGTCAATGAATGCTGCACAACGACCCACGATAGAATGAAAAAGAGTTGATCTAACTGTGTAAGGCAAGATTTATTTTCTTCTCAGGGGTTGGAGGTCACCTCGTGAGGTGAAGGGAGGGGTGTGGCTTTGAGAGGCCACCAGTTGGGAAACTAGCCATCTTTCTCGCCCAAGTTGGCATGTCACGGTTCTCGCGACCATCAATTGACCGTTTAACGTACGTGTGAACATATTCTTTCTGTCTGCACAGAACATTAATATATGACGCTTCCAAGATAGTCAAATGTGCCAGACTGCAGGCATGACTGACAATACCAAATTGGTCATCAGCACACTTCCTCACATATCCAGGATTATCAGCAAATGTTGTCCAATTGCACATTCACATCTAAAGTTATGCGCTGTATTGTGGTTAGTTACAGTCAGTACCTTGCCTGTTGCAAACTGCTGAAGGATCACACTGTTTGATCTTATCCATCAGTCTTTGGGATGGTGCAGCTACACTCCTAGCATCACACTGACACTGAAATTAATTTACCACGTGACTTATTAGTATGACAGGCAGAATGTCTTTTTGGTTTGAAGGAAGCATCCTGTTAGTGGCGAACTCAATTTGTGTTACTACAGCTAACTTCACCTATTGCTCAGACTTTGAGATACCTTCCCCATTGAGGGTAAGTCTGAACTACTGTCAGTGGGAGCCTTTGAGGACCCAGGAAGGCTTTGAGACCTGATGAGGAAAGTGATTGGAAATGGGTATGAGAGCAGAGGATCAAACAGATGTGTGAAATGCATAAAATAATGGCTCAGTAAATTGTTCTATAATTTATTCTCTATAATTGCTGTATAATTGCTGTATAATTGATTCTCATGGACTGGCAAAGCTAATATTGTAAGAAAGGCACATTAAAAACAAACACATTGATTACTAATGAGTGAGCTTGTCCATTCAAGGTAGGCCATTCAGCCCACCAAACCCATGCTGACTTATCCAGTTAGACCTACACTCCTTGCTCTTTCGCCATAGGCTTGATCATTTTTGTTTCACTTCAGAAGCGTTAGTCTGGTTCCCATTTGAAAGTTGCCATTAAATGTGCCTCCATTCAAACCATATATTCCAGATCGCAACTGGTTGTATAGAAATGATTCTCTTTATTTCCATTATGTGTTCTTTAACTAATTATTTAATTAATTTTCCTTTGACAGCACAGTCCAAACCTACAACCTCTACTGTTCAGAAGGACGGGGAGGGGGGGGGTCAGATTCATGGCAAGCCCAACATCTGCATGCTCCCTTCCAAACCATGCACCATCCCGACTTGGAAATATATTACTTTTCCTTCAGTGTTGCTGGGTCCAAATTCTGGAACTCCATCCCTAATAGCACAGTGGGTCTCCCAACACCAAAAAGAATTGCAGCCATTCGAGAAGTCCGCTCACCACCAACTTTTCAAGGGCAATTAAAGATGGACAATAAATGCTGGTCCAACTAAAAAATCCCACATCTGGTGAACATTTAAAAAAAAACTTAGATCTGCATCCCATAGTTATTGCCAATGGAAAGTTCCATTCAAGATCTTTTGTAATTTTGAACTTAAGGCTCAATCATTTTGAATACGCCAATAAAATTGAGCCTATTAATTATCAGCACAGATCCAAGCGCACATCATGGCTTTCTGTTCAACTGTTGACATAAAACCCAAATTCATCGATGTAAGCATCAAGCCACACAACAAAAGAGAATCCGTGACAAAGACATGGAGTTGATAGAAAGGGCTGGAGACAATCGCTTGGGCTTTCCCTGGGTTTAATTCTCATTTAAGATTGGCAGCAGTTTGCAAACCCACAGGCTTTAGAGAGGTACTGATGCAACTGACAACATGGGAGATCTGCTTGTCTGGTTTGTAAAATTACTCTGGTGGAAGTATTGTTTATCTTGCCACCTCTTTTTCCTGTGGAAACCAAGCAGAAAGAGTGTGTGCATGAAACTTCAGCGACCTTAGGTTAGCTGAATACTTTCTGTCACCTTATGCGCCTAACAGATATCAAAACAAAGTGAAGATGTTTAACAGCTGACAGTCTGCTCCAGGAAAACAAACATTGTCCCAAACTACAACTAAAACTCACAATGCTATATATACGCAGGGGGTAACACATCCCTCTGTCAGCTATTTTGAATGAGGAGGTAATTGTGCCTAAACTCAGTCCCTCAAACATTATTTGATCAAGATAACTAACTTTTAAAACAAACTGGTAACAGCAGTGGTAAAAATAATCTAATGGATGAAAGTCTATTTTCCAACAACAATGCACAGAGTTACTTGTTCTCTGCAGGGTGAATGATTAATCTGAACACTTTTTATTTGCTAGTCCATCTCTCGGTGAAGTCTACAGTTGTTGCTTGGTTAAAGGAAAGGGATACTTGTCCAAGGTATAACTTATTTTGAAACACACAGATTCCATTTTTAACTTTTGTATTTCTCACTATACATTCAAATGTCAACATTCAGAATGGAAAATGCTTCTGTGAAATTGCCATACTTTAATTTCACCACCCACTGTGGTGGCATTGCAGTAACATAGTATAACATCTCATTTGTTTATCTTTCATTTTCATGAAATGTTGGCATCACTGGCAAGGTCAGCATTTGTTGTAAGTGCCCTTGAGCTGAGTGTCTCACAGCACCATTTCACAACAAAGTCTGGAGTCCCATGTAGACGAGATCAAGTAATGACAGCAGATTTCCTTCCCTAAATAACATGGGTGATTCAGGTGGGTTTTTTACAGTTAACAATCCCCATTACTGAGACTATCTTTCATTCATAATTGAATTCAAGTTCCACCAGCGGCCATGATGGGATTTGAACACATATCCCCAGAGTATTAGCCTGGGCATCTGGATTACTGGCCCAGTGACATGACCAATACTCCAACGCCTCCCCTTAAACAGATCATTCAGACTCAATAGCTGCTATGAAGCAGAGTTTGAATACTTGCTTGTCCTCACAACTGGTGAGATCCCAATTTACCTTTCCCTCTTGGGGTCATCATGGAGCCCAAAAAGAGATTCTTCACCTGCTTGAAGCTAATAGATGAGAGCCCTGCAGAGGCCTTTAAAGGGAGCATGAGGATGGCCCTGCATATCTACTGTGACACTTGCCTTGAATAGACGCACAGGACAAAATGAGTACACATTTCAACCCCAGGGTTGTCCATGGTCCAGCATTAACCTGGAGTTTCCAAGCACTGAAGATCAATTTCCAGGGCACTGTTGTGCAAACCCCTGCTGAAAAATCACAGGGACTTTAGAAAAATATGTGAGGTTTTTTGTGCTATTTTCTTTGAACATTTTTCTTTAGCCAGAAAAAGAACCATTAAAAATGGGGGAATAAATGGTTGTTTAGCCAACAGTCAAGCATCATCCAGTTGGCAAGTAGCACATCACAAGGGGGAGGGTATGTACATCTACAGCTCCTTACACCATCCCCATGGGTGGGGTCCATCTACAAACTTGAGGAGGCAGACAAACAGGAGGCTGGAAGAACACAGCAGGCCAGGCAACATCTGGAGGAAAGGAGCAGTCAATGTTTTGGGTATTCCCCTTCGTCAGGACTGGAAGGGGGGGGAGGGGGGGCGGGGGGAGGGGGGGGGGGGGGGAACGGGACGAGGCAGAATGGCGGTGATAAGTGGACGCTGGTGGTAGATGCGACCTGGTTGGTCGATGGGAGGGATTGGTGGCTGGAAGGGAGAGTCAGAAGGTGGAATGGAAGGGAGGAGGGGGGGCTGGAAGGGGAGACAGGGGATGGGTGGGGAGGTCATTTGAAATTAGAGAACTCAGTGTTGAATCCTCCGAGCTGTAGGGTGCCCAGGCAGAAGATAAAGTGTTGCTCTTCAAATTTGTGTTCCGATTCGCTGATACACCTGAGGAGGCTGAGAACGGATATGTCAGAGGCGGAGTGGGGCAGGGAGTTGAAATAGGAGGTGACCAGGTTAGGCTGGCCATTATGGGCCAGCCGGAGATGCTCGGCGAAACGGTCGCCTAGTCTATGTTTGGTCTCACCAAGGTAGAAAAGACCACATTTGGATCGCGGATGCAACAGACTAGGTTGAAGGAGATGCAGGTGAAGCTCTGTCTCACTTGGAAGGGCTGTTTAGGGCCCTGAATGGAGGTGAGGGAGGTAGTGTGTGGGCAGGTGTTGCATCTTTTCCGGTTACTGGAAGATACGGGGGTTGGGGGGAGGGGTGGTTTGGAAGGGTTTAGCAGGGAGTGTGGTGCGAATTAAGGAGTGGCAAAGGGAAGGGTCCTTGCAGAAGGCAGAGAGGGGTGCAGAGTGGAAACTGTTCTGGGTGGTGGGGTATAATTGGAGTTGGCGGAAGTGTTTGAGGATGATATTTTGGATGCAGAGGCTGGTGGGGTGTAAAGTGAGGACAAGGGGGACTCTA